CAGCAGGCAGCAGCAGGCAGCAGGCAGCAGGCAGCAGCACCCGTGCTACAGCAGTACCACACATCGTACTTGCCCAACCGGACGCGCAGCTTACCTCTGGGTTATTAGCAGCCGGGTTGGTGGTGGCAGAAGAACGTGTCCTCAATCCCTCATGCGAACCCTGGATGGCGGCGATGACGGGGCAGGACATAACCCTGTCTGCCCCGCAACCCCCGCTTCCGCCGCCTTGTGGTATGCCGTTCTTCCGAGCTGCGTTTCGCTTGCCCGCCATGATGGCGTCAGCCTTTTCGCGGGCCAAGTTGGACAAAACCACTTCGCTAGCCTCGCAGTAGCCTGTGTTCTCCGCGGCTTTTCTGCCCTTCCTCTTGCTGTCCAACAAGGTGGTGCGAAGCTTGATTCCTCGTTCGTGTGGGGACCACTTGTGGATAACCTCGTATCTTGTTTGGCCAGCATACATGATGCGTGTACATTCGCCAGCGGCAGTCACCGCTGGGCCCTGGCCGCGCAGCATTTTCAAGCCCGCTTCCCACCACCACTTTTTGTCTGACCAACTTTCTGAGTGGCTCTACCCCCCCTAATTCGACCAAGCGGAATCGATTGGCGACGATTCCCGTGGCGAAAAAGTTCGGCAATGCGGCGAAAAAAAAAAGTTCGGGCTGAAGGGGAACTTTTTTTTTTTGGGAACTTTTTTTAAACGTCGTTTTTGGGCGTTTGAGAACGATCTGCGAAGTCAATTTTTTTTTTTTTTTCTTCTCCGAGGTGGGAAAGGTGATTCGTCTTTAGCTCGGAACCCGCCCCCGGTGCTTTAGGGGGGTGTGCATAAAATGTGTATTGTGGTCTCTCTTGTCGGGGTCGTTATACGGGAATGGTTGTGCAGAATTTCACAAACGCCCGCAGGAGGCAATCGTTCGAGCTTATGCTGCAGGTTTGCGATTGGTTTTGGGTAATTGTAGCTGAACGAAAGCGTAATCCGACTCCTCCACCCCTAGCTCTTGTTTCTGCTGACGGGGAGGGCTGCGACCAGTTTGAAAAAATGCAAGCGGGGCATCGCCTGGTCCTTCGCCGCAAAGAGCGTGTCTTGGACAACTTTTAACGTTTTTTCCGTGTTGGTCGACCGTGGTGTATTCAGTTGCTGTAGTGTTCTTGGCCCAACCTTCTTCAAGCCCGCTTCAATAGATTCTTCGATTGCACTCGGGATCAATTGCTTGTCGAATGGGAACATATAATTCCAAACTGCATGCGCCAGTCTTGGGAGTGCCGTACTTTGCAGATCGTATTGCGGGTCTTGTGTCCCTGTGGATAGAATCACACAAGTTCACCGATACTTACAACATATTTCCAAGCCCAGTTGCAGCGCATATTCAGCTACGATAACCGTTTGGCGTACACCATGAAAACTACGCCATCACATGCCTCCTTGTTCCGCCCGCAACTCCGTTCGGCCCCGGCGCCCTGATGACCACCGTCACCCCTACTGCTGCCGTCTTCGGTGGCCTTGGATTGGCCTTGACTCAATCCCGATCGCTGTTCTTGCATAACCGTCGTTCCCGCATAAGACGACGCTCCTGTCCCATCCGCTTCGCTGCCCATGTCAGCGGCGCTCAGTCCAGGGCTCGGCGATAGCGGCGTGCCATCCAGTCCCAACGCCTGTATTGCCGACGCATCGTCCAAGCAGATGGCGTCAAAGATTGAACGCATCAAGAGGTGAAACGGTAGTTGTTTGGGCAATTCGTGCAGCAACTGCAATAAGACGAGAGGAACAACGAAAGAGAGGTGGACCACCGGTATCACACGATCGTCCAATTTCCGCATCTTCCTACAGTAAGAGAACATGTCCGCTCTTTAGATGCCGTCAGCACGAGACCCAAAGCTCGGAAGAGCAACGTGTGACTTCACACGCCACCTCGAGGAGCATCTTTTGGCCATCGGATCGCATGCCATGTACCAGCTATACAAACGCATTGCCTGCCATCCTGCACCTGTTTGCTGAGGACGCTCTGTTGTGCGCGAAGACCTTACTCTTGCCTACTAGGCATGCTCTTTTTAAATGCCGGACACATACTGTGGCCAACCTTTGAGTGCAGCAAAATGCGAATTCTTGAGTGCGGCAACAACAAGACGCACCTGTACTGAGACACCATATCCATGACGTCGGAGCAGCTCGCATGCCCGCGTGACGCGGTCTCCCACAGGATGTACCTCGGCCACCACTTGCTTGATCTTGGGCCAATCTTGTTGTTCGATTCCACGTAGCACGTCCTGGTCAAGGTACGGATACAGAAACCATTTCGCAAACGACGGCACGCGACGACCATATCGTGTAAAGAGCTTGAGGGTAGCTTGTAAGTCACAACCGAAGCTCAAAGCCAAGGGCGGTCTGTACTAGAGGGTACTCGCAAAATCAATGGCGGGCATTGGCCGGTTCAGGCCAGGCAAACGGCCAACGCCAGTACCCGATGAGAGGGCGAAGGAGACTGCTGTGTAAGCTCAGCGCCACGTCATGAAGGGGCACCATCGACCGTGACGTACGAGACAGTTCGGTCAGCAACATCTACAAATCGGGGGGAGCTTGGGCGTGTAAGCGAGGGTGCACGCCGCTGCGCTCTGCCTCACAAATTCGGTCCCCTCCACGTCGATTTTGAGCAAGTCGATCTTGTCCACCCCGAGGTCGGCCATTGCCCACGACACTGTCCTCACACTGCACGACACCTGAAGTTTTCGAAGGGGTTGGTGGTGTAATCGATGAACTGCTGGAACAACCTAAACATTGACTGCCCCTCCTCCGACAACTGCGGACGTCGTAGGTCATTGCCCTCGATAACTCGAACGCAACAAAAAAAAAGTCTACACAACTGTAGTCGATGTCTGATGTACCAGGTTTCGGCAGCAAAGTATTTCCACCAACAACTTGGAAATATTCAGCATCCCCGTTTCTCGGCGGTTTAGATGGTGCATAAATTGTAGAAGCATACAGATTTGTAATTATTCTTTTTGGTTCGTCGAGGTTCGCGGGGCGGTTCGAATCAACAACACGTCAGCTGTGTGTGCTGTTGAGCTAGGGAAACGTCATACCGCAGCTGGCAGTCAGCCGTGGGTTGATCCTGCCTGCCTGCTGTATATATATCGTGAACATCATGCCTTTTGATTGACACTGTGCTCTCATAAGCCCACCCCGGGGGGATCACATGTAAAACTACAAACTTGGCGTTCAATCAGCATGTCTCGCCTTGTCACCGATAAGTCGACAGCTGGGAGACGACGAGTCTACGTTCGCAACGGTCTGTATTTCAACTTGTGACACGCGAACGAAGTCAAACCATGTAAAAATAGACGTTACAGAGGAATCTTGTCGAACGGTGAACCTTAGCAGCCAGCTTAGCGACCTCTCATCAATTATGCTCTGGTTTCTAGCTATGCGAGGACGGTGCTATAGCCCACGTGCACTAGCGAACATGGGCGAGTAATTTGCGGCCACATAATCCAAACTGGGCGACCCCGACATCAAACCCAATCTCTAGTGAAAAAACAGCTGAATGATCAAAATGACCCCCCTTACTCCGTCCGGTCACATATGTACCAAGTGCAAAACATTGTCTGTCCCAAGTTCACGAAAAAGCTCAATCGCGGGTCTGGGAAAACCACGCGTAATCTGGCCACCTGCTCAGCATCGTCGAAAAACGTCCCATTTGAGGCGTCGACGCGCGTCTCCCCTCGCGATGAGGCCTTCCCTCCTGTTGTCCGCCCCATCTTACCCTGTAACCGTTCCTGTTGCAAGCGAGACAAACCGGCCATGCACCAGGGCATTGAGTGCTGCATTCATACCAACGTGGCGCCCGCCACCTCAACGACACTAGTTCAATTTGAGAAAATCAATCATGCTATTGGCCACGGCATTGCACGATTCCAGTGCCATCACAAACAGCGGTGTTGCACACCACGTCACCCAATGGCCTCGCAATCCGTACGGTACTTGTGTACCTTCTCAAGAGGCCTCAGGGTGCTGTTTCCAGGCATGTGAGGGTAGAAGGTCGCGAGAACGTTGTCCTGGTGCTTGGCGCCGAGAGCGTACTCAAGAATGACCGCAGTAGGACAGTGCCTGCGGCGGGAGAAAACAATCAGAGTCGGGAGAGCACAACACATCGGGAGAGGAGAGCATACTGTCATATTTCGAATCGACCCGAATTCGGCCACACATTTGGCAGGTATCACGATCAGTGGCTCTGATTCTTCTACAATCCAGGCCAATACACAATGAATTCTCCACCTTAGGTATCCTCGCCAGCTGACGACCGTTAGAATATGCTGTGCGATGCCTCTACAATTACGCAAACAACTGTTTGTGATTCCCAATAGCCTGGCCATGCATTTCCTACTGGATGAACTCACTTGGATAGATTCCGCTGCAGTGCCGACCTGTTGACGGGCAGGGGTTCGAAGGCAAAAACACGAAGAGAATCGGGCGTGTCTGTCTCCAGCTCAAAGAAGATGCTTGCAAGGCCGACGTTGGCACCTGCAGCAACAAGAGAGGGAAAGGGGGGAAATTCGTGCTCTCAAAACGTTCATGAGAGTTCCTTGTCTCACGAAAGTGAGGGTGGCGATGCGGCGATTTAAGATATCTTGACCCAAGAGTTCGACCACGTCAGGTAAGAACTCAAGAGATGGTACAATTTCAACCCAGCAATTACCACACAAAAAATCAGCCTAGGATGGGCCGTGAGCCACACCACTGCTGTCTCTACACTGCTTGCTCCCTCTCAGGTTGAAGAATATAAACGTTCTTGCAATCCAGTAGATACGTACGCCATTGGAGGGTTCCTCGGTGAACAAAACAAAAACGTGACCTCCATCACCGATCCGAAAAAATGGCGCATCAGTCAACGACAACACCGACTTCTTTCTTCACAACAAGGAGCCTTACCAACGTCCCAGACAGTGTCGCCGTCTTGCACCCGGACGTCCATCCTCGCGTACGTCCTGTCCTCGAACACCTCCCCATAGATGAAAAACGCCTCCTCCTCGGCACGACTGCCCCACCACACCGCCAACCCGTTCGGCATCTCCCGCAACACCGTATTTTCCTCGCTAGCGTCTTTGTAAATCCCTGCGCTCCCGCCGCCGCTCAGGAGAGATTCACCAACCTTGTCCACTGCTGCAAGAATCTCGCCCGTTCCCCCCCCCAGATTTTCTTCCACTGCTCGGCCTTTTCCTGTGGAAACATGGTCTAATGTTGGCGATGGGGTCGCCATGTGGAGTTGAGTGCTAGCGGATCCAATCGTTGCTTCGCCGTGTTGCGCGGCTGGTGTTGGCGACTGTTTTCTCATAAAGAGAGACAAAGAATCAAGGGCCTTGTCGAGGCCGCTCTCCGCGCGTATTTTGACTCCCAGACACGCCGCGCGTAGCTTCACCTGCAATCCGGTATGAATACCAGCGGACAGCATCGATCGCCATTCATTCTGTCAATCGGGGGGTTGGGGAGCTGGCACGCGACCTGATGGTCTGCGCGAAAAGGGTACGCATCCTTCCACCAAATTGTGCATATCTTGCTTTGCCGTAAGTCAGGTGTTACACCAGCCCCCCGGCCAGCTTCTCTCGACAACTAGTTAGCGTACGGATACGCCACTGAGCTCGGATTCAGCCTCCGCGCATCTACCGAAATTTTCGCATACTGTGCTTCATAGGACCAACCTGCGGTGTAAGCGCAGATAAAATCGCCGCCGATGCTTCACCAACCAGAGATCCAGGTGGTACAGTTGGTGCCGGTACGCGTCCGACGAAGAGGGATCTCTCTAACACACTGCCCACGGCCAGGTAGCGCACACGCTCAGCCCAGAAAAACTGATCGAGTTGCTGAGGGCAGACCACTTAATGTAGCAAAGCGCGAGCAGCGTTGGGGGGGGGGGG